AGCAGCGTTAAGCTTGTCATTGGACGCCCGCGGATCGGTGGACGCCGTCACGCTGCTCTTGCAGTCGATGATCGCACACAGTGTCGGACAGCAGCGCGAGCCCCGCGCCGTGTGGGAGCCGCTCCACCGCTCGACGTTGGCCATGGCGATCGAGCACCTCGGCGAGGCACACCCAACAACACTTGCGGCGCGCACCAACTATGTCAAGTCTCTTGTGTACAACGACGCGATGGCGGACGCGCTGCCGTTGGCACTCGACGACTCGGAGCGGCGGCGATCGCTGCACGGCCTTTGCAACGAGCACACAGCCGATAGCCTCTCCAACGTCGGCCAAATCTACACGCGCCTCGGTAAACCACGGCTCGCGCTGCGCTGGCTCCGAAAAGCGCACACCCTTCAGAAGACGCTCTTGGGCGGCGAGCACAAGGCGACGTTGACGACACTCTCGCTTCTCGTCATCGTGCTGCTGCAGATGGGCGACACGATCCAAGCGCCCGCGCTTGCCGAGTTGGTTGCGGCCTCCGAAGAGCGGACGCTGGGGGCCAATCATGAGAGCACAATTGTCAGTCGCATCAACTCTGCCATCAGTGTCCTCATGGCCGGCGACGCCGCGCATGCCATGTCGGCGCTGCTGCAGTTGCAGACGACGCTCGAGGCGCGCCGGGAGCTAGCCCACCTTCTTTGCATCGGTATGACGCTATTCCATGTGGATAGGTTTGAATGATGGACATATTGTCTGCGTCTAGTGCACGTCAACTTGGGCGTCGTGTGCGCCATCAATGGTGACCGGACGGCCGCTCTTGCGTACTATGCCCGCGCCTTTCACGATATGCCGTTCAAAGTGAGCGCGTGGATGCTCTACAGCTTTGCGGTCGACGCGCCAACATCCCCCGAAGGCCTCGCCATGGTGCGCGAGTACGTCATGTCGACTGTGGATGACGAGCCAGAGGCATGGCCCACGAGCTGCATGGTGTGCTGTGAGCCAATTGTCGGCAGTGTCGTCGAGTGTGCGGCGTGTCCACGCGATGTCTTTACGTTTTGTACAACTTGTCATGACCAGCATTCTTCCCGGCTGCGTCACTTTTGCCGTCACGATGCGAGTCTGACCCAGTGGACGAGAACCCGCCCACCGCGCCGGTTCTTTGAGGAAGACGCACTGCTAGCAGCGGACGTCGCCGACTTTGATGCTGTCAACTGGCGCTATCAAGCGTACGAGGCCTACTGCGAGACGCACCAGGTTTCGATGGACGAGCGATTGCAGCGAACGTCTGTTCCGAGTTTGAACAGACGTTGGCACCCGATGCTCTAGTCGCCTGTCACCGACGAGGCCAAAACGAACGCACCGAGTCGCTATATGTATAAAATCAAATACAGCCTGGCGTATGTATCGTCGCATAACGTCAGTACTTTGCATGAGTCCCCAAGAAGAGCCTATTGAAAACCCACGTTTACCACGTTTTTCACTTGATGTGAAAATCGTCCCACACCGTGACAGGGGTGAGGCCGCAGTAGCAAGAAATGGTCACTTGGGATGGAAGGTAGCGGCGAACACGAGTGAGCGATCACGCAGTGTATCATCTGGATAGCACTGCGTATGCGCCAAAGTATCTGCGGCCAGTGCGTCTGGTGTCCTAGGATCGGCGTGGTGCGTCTAGATATTTACTATAGCCATTTATATGCTTTCCCAGAAACACCCAACTACATTGCTCTGGCTGGGCCATCTGGCGTGCGCTGTGACCCACTGTGAGCCCACTGTGATGACCAGAATCGGAGACGGACGACTCATTTCGCAAGTAGCCATGACGTCGCCAGCCCGCGGCCT